TCTGCAGCGGCCCAATGCACGCAAGGCGTTCTGCTTCCAGTGAGAGTTGGGAATTTGCTGAAGGGCGAGGGGACTGAGCATTTAGTGTCTATGTTCACAAATCGGGGCCAGCATTCCTGGGGCACGACGGCAAGGGCATCAGCTAGGTCTTGTGGCAGCCAGGCGGTCGTAGGGACAGGGGCTTGGCGCAGGGCTCCTCAGTGTTTGGTCCACAAAGGAGTGCCACCCGGAACCGTTGGCTCCTGCTCCATGCTATGCTACGAGGGGACTAGCAATTGGACCCTCTGTTGAGGAAAAGCTGATGGTTTCTTTGGGTTTGCTGTGTCAGATGTCCTTCCCGGAGGTGGACGGCCCTTCCCCCAAAGAGGGCCTCCCACTTGGGCCGGTGGGAAATCGTAGAACTTGGCTCCCTCAGCACACGTGCCCTGAGGAACAGCATGAGAGTCGAAAGTCCAGGGTGAGGCTGGCAGGGTTCGGCTCCTGGATCTGCTGCCCACTACCTGGGTGACGTGGAGCAGGCCCCTGAGCCCCGTCTGTTCCGTGGGACCCCTACTAGCGCCTGCCGGGGAGGCCTTCTGTCAGAGCAAATGCACTGATTTGTGCCCAGGTTAATGTGGAGTGTGCTGTCTGTTTTCAGGAGGAACCGGCAGCCCGCCCGCAGCCACCAGAGGAGGTAAAGAACACAGCACGCCCATGGAACCTAGCCCAGGAGCGCCAAGCGCAGGGAAATCAGACAAGTCAGGATGGGCCCCTTAGCACCTATGTGGTGGCATTGAACGTGACACAGGGCGAACTCACGACTGAGCTGTGTGTGATGTGAGACTGATACTAGCTATGTAGCTGCAGACACCCTAGGAGTCCTTGAGAGCTGCGGTTGTGTGGGAATGCGGACTTCTGTCCCGTCCGGGAAGAGGGTTATGCAGAATCCTGCCTGTCTAGCAGTAAAAGCGTTTCCCCGTTGTCGTGTCAGGGACCCCAGAAGGAACAGAGGGCTTCACAACAGCCACAGGGAGTGAGAAGACAAGTGGAGATTCAGCTGGCCCAGGCACAACCTTGGGAGACAGAGCAGGTATGGAAATCCAAGGTGGGAAGCATCTTGTTCCTGATGTGTGGGAAGCTGCCAGTGGCTTCTGAGGGAGGGCTTCCTAATCAGTTGGTAGTGCCCATCCTCCTGGGCGGCTCCCTGTCCTGGTTTGTGTGTGCTTCTTCTCTGCAGGGTTTCTTGAGCCTCTGTACAGACGTGATGGATAACAGAGCAGTGTGTGCTCAGAATCCCCAGATTCCTGCCTCTGGGTTTCTGAGCCTGATTCTGGATGGGCATGGGGTCATGCTTTGCCCGTCTGGCTCCAAGTGAGAGCTGAAGCCAGACATGACCCAATGTATGAAGCTTTTCCACGATCCATTGTATTTAAAGTTCTTTGAAAGGAGAGGGCAATGCAATGTGTTCTGCTGCTCCAAATCTCCCTGTACATTTTGGTGTAGTTTTTAATGTAGTCGATTAACTGTGGGTGATTCCACTTGAGCCTCATTAAGATAAGACCCTGTCAAAGACTGTGTTAAGAATGTCATTGAGAGAATATAGCTTTTTCAAAATTTAAAATAAGTGCCAAAACAGGAAGTATCTTTTATCACAACCTTGTTTTTTTTTTTTCATTTGTATTATTGACATATCAAGGAATCATTGGGAATGTCATAAAAATGATGGACAGTTTTTAGTGGATCTTTATTTTGCTGTTTTCTCCAATCTTTCCTTCAAATCTACTACTTTACTGCATTAAATATATATTAATGTATATGGTCTCCCAGTACACAGTTTATAAATACAGGAATCTGTGGAAGTACCACTGGAATTGGTGAAGGCATGACCACTAGATCACCTTTCATTGGTTTCAGGCCAGTTTGATAATCAGCTACAAGCTGCAGGCTCGATTGCTTATTTTGACAGTGCTCCATCATGAACTTAGCTGGGAATTCAAGTTTTCATGAGAAATTTAAGTCAGTTTAGCAGTGATTATAGTTTCAATGGCTTTTTAATTTTATGACTATTGAACAGGTATAGTTTGATCATTTGTATCACAACCATTTATTTAGACTAGAATTGCCAGTTATAAATGCAAGGTGCCATTGAATTGTGAAGTTCACATAAGTAAGAAACACTTTGTTAGTATTAAGTATGTCCTATTTGGAATGTGATTTTTTTTCTGGGTTTTAAATTTACAGGGTGTCTTTTGTGATTATGTACTAAATCTGACAATCATTTTGTGAATTGATTGCCAATGTTCTTTTCAATTAGGAGCAGCGGATACGGGATTTGCAGCCACTTTTGTAGCTGCTGGCGAAACCACTTTTGTTGCATCAGGTACTGAAAGAGCATAATCAAAATAAATCTAGGCAATGGAAATGAGTTTTCTTTTTTTTTTAATTTAATTTAATTTTTTCAGTGTTCCAAGATTTCATCGTTTATGTACCACATGCGGTGCTCCATGCAATACATGCATTCCTTATTACCCACCACCAGGCTCACCCATCCCCTGACCCCCCTCCCTTCCAAAACCCTCAATTTGTTTCTCAGAGTCCACAGTCTCTCATGGTTCTTCTCCCCCTCTGATTTCCCCCAATTAACTTTTCCTTTCCTTCTCCTAATGTCCTCCATGTTATTCCTTATACTCCACAAGTGATTTCTTTACTTAACATTGTGACAGAGACAATGTGTCCTAAAGAATTTAATTATCATTATTTGTGTAATGTCAAAACTGGAGATCAAAAATTAATCAATACCTCTCTGTTACGTAAATAATATCATACTGAGTGCTCTAGAAAACAGAATGGTCATGTACTTGTTCCCTTAGAATTTTATTTTTGAGCAAAAGTAATTAATATTTATATATATGCAAAGGCAAATACCATTATGGCAGAAAAGAATCAAAATCAAAGAAATGTTCCATGACAGGCTTGGAATGAGAACCCAAAAGGAAATTCTATTAGGGAACTGATTAGTCAGAGTTAAAAACAAGATAGAATTATTCTATCTTGAAAATAAAGTGATAGTATGATCAGTACACTATGACTATATCTTTATACTTTAACTTGAGCAAAACCTCAAAACATGAGTGAGTTGAGTGGAATTTTAAGGATATATTCAATTTTATGGGATAAAGAACAGTCATATTTCAGTTGTTAAGGTCATAGAATTGAAAACAAAATCTTCTCTCAACCCAGATACCCAGGCCCAAAGACAGTAGAGGAAAAAAAAAAACAACAGTTTTCAATGGAATAAGTATTAAACTTGCAAGTGATGCAAATTATGAGCTAAATTCACTTAGAGATTGTAAAGACAGGAATCTTACAAGCAGACCACCTTTACATACATTTTCTCAAGAAAAATAATTACTGGTTCTCAAATAAGAAAACTTTAAAACACCATTTATTATACACAGCTTATCCTAAATTCACCTGTTAATTGGGGTGACGGTTACTTAACTGGTTTTATGGGGTTTTATCCTCCTGATAAAGGATGAAGGTTTGTCCCTAGAGGGAGATAAGAGTACTATCTCCCTTGATGTTTACATTCCCAAAAGATAGTTCCCAAGGCCTTGAGAAAGACCCTCCTGGGTCATTAAGCTGGAAAGAAGCCTATTCAGATTTTTGAAAGATATACATACATTTCAAAGACAGAAAACATCTGAAATGACAAATTTTCCAAAGCAAATGGTCTAAGAAAAAGAAAGGGGCAGTCTCCCCTTATTTGTACCAGAAAGAATTAAGCCTCTTAATTTAAATTTTTGTTTTTGTAAGCCATCCTCCAAAGATGATCAAGTTCATATTTTAATTAGCTAACTTATGTTTCTGTTGTAAGATTAAGCCATGCCTAGAGTCTTGCCTGAAGCAACCTCTGGGACTGGAGGTGGTAGCACCCCTGGGGAAACAGGCACTAGAACCCCAAGTCCTGAGAAATCAGATAAGGTTTGTCCTCATTTTTTTGGCTGTGTCCCATCATACCACCCTCAGCAGGGTGTGATCTGTACTAACCTGATTTCTAATTTGCATTGATGATCTTAGAATTGGGTAGCATTTAAGCTTAATGGGGAACCAGTTGGGAGGTGGGGGCGGGGCAGGAAAATGGTGGCTGCATACATTAGAATCTACACATACCTCCTTCTGCAAAACGTAATATCACTGGGCCCACACCTTGGGAGTTTAGAGGGACAGAGCACACTGAGACTCCAAAGATTGGGAAAGATGGCTCTGGGACTCAGAGTGGTTCTCTGAGATTCAGGTCAGGGCTTCCCAGAGGAGAGGGGAGTATAGAGAGTTACTTAATAGTGGTAGAACATAGCATCGACTAGGGTTTACCCCTTGAGAGAAAGGGCTCTACCCTGAACAAGACTGCTGAGAGAAGATCTGAGACCCAGCAATTCAGAGTCCTTTTTCATGTGGAGTTGAAAGAAAGAAGATAGGAAAGTTCACAGAATGAGGTCAAGCAGCCCTGTGAAAGTACTGACTGTCTTGGAGGCAAGGGAGAGACACCAGAAAGGTGGAAGAATCTTTGTAGCCTGGGTGTCAAAAAAAAGAAAGAAAGAAAGAAGAAAGAAAGAAAGAAATCTTCAAAGCCAAGGGCCTCAAGAAAACAGGATAGTAAGTATGAGTTAGAAGACAGACAAAAAAGAGATGCCTCTTAAAAAAAAGCTTGCTTTCACCATGAACAACATAAAAGGAAGCCCTTGATCTGAAAAATCTGGTGAGTCACAATAAAGTCTCTTCATACCCACTCCATAGGATCTCCTTCTATGTTCCAGGAAAATCCAATGCAAAAAACATGAAAAAGAAAAGTAAAATTCAAATATCTATAGAAAGATTGTTCCAAAATTCCTTAGAGACTTAAGCTATCCCTAACCCCCTTCTGACGTGAAAGTATATAATTGCATACATTTATATGTATATATATATACACACATGTGTATATATACTGACATATATACATAGTTTATACTTATATGTATAGATATAACGTATATATTTTTAGCAGTTCTCAGCAATAGCAAAATCTAGTCATGAAATAAAGGAAACAGAACATTAACAAGAATTTAAAATAAGAAACAAACTGCAGCTATAGACATCAGAATTATAAATTAAAAAAACTAGTGTCAAATAGATAAATAGTAGGAAGATGTCAAATTGGAACTGATGAAAATTCAGGAGAAATATTAAAAAATAAAGAAAAAATATCTAAAAAATACAAACCAGTTTCAATCTACCCAGCAGAGAATATATGAGACTGAAAGCATGGCAGGGGCTGTAGAGGATAGAATTGAGAAGATCCAAAAAAATATTGCAGACATTTAAAAAGTTTAAGTAGATCAGAGTTAGGCATCATTACAGGAAACAGATAAAAATATCCAACATATAGATTATTTCAGTTTCTGGAGAAGCAAAAGCAATGAAACAGAACTAACATTTAATACTATAAACCAGGGGCGCTTGGGTGGCTCAGTGGGTTAAGCCGCTGCCTTCGGCTCAGGTCATGATCTCGGAGTCCTGGGATCGAGCCCCGCATCGGGCTGTCTGCTCAGCAGGGAGCCTGCTTCCTCCTCTCTCTCTGCCTCTCTCTCTGCCTGCTTGTGATCTCTCCCTGTCAAATAAATAAATAAATAAATCTTTAAAACTGTAAACCAGGACAAGTTTCCTACAATTAAAAGAGAAATCCTAAATTTCTATGTTGAAGGGACCTATGATATATACCTGGAAGCTTAAATCTTTAACAGTCATTTTGGTGAGTTAATTTAGAAAACTGTTAGACTTGAAAAAGAAACAGAAAAAGAAAAGGAAATCTGTTAGACTTGAATGATACATTCTCTGGACCTTGAGGCAAAAAGAGAAAGTAATTCAAAAAGAAAGAAAATCAGGGATGTCTGGGTGGCTTAGTCATTAAGCGCCTGCCTTCGGCTCAGGTCATGATCCCAGGGTCCTGGAATCGAGCCCCACATCAGGCTTCCTGCTCAGCAGGAAGCCTGCTTCTCCCTCTCCCACTCCCCCTGCTTGTGTTCCTTCTCTTGCTGTCTCTCTCTCACT